CGCAGTCGCCAAATTCACCGAAGGTTGTTTACTGGTTATATTGTGACCATAAGGGCTTATTGGGCTTGATAAATACTGATGTTCAAAATATTATCCCTGCCTCCTCTACTCCCACATCCTGAACCCAACTCAAAACCTGGCCACCCGCTCTACTTCACCTAAACAAATTCAGAGCAAGCAGGCTAAGCGCCGGCGATTGCTGAAGAAAGCGCCACTGAATCCAACGAAAAGAGCTGAATAGCACAGAAATGAGAATTCTGCTTAGTAAGGGTACATAATAAACAATTGCTTGTATCCACATTGAAGAACCTCAGCAAAAGTAGCGTGTAGTAAGAAATGATTCTCAGTTATATGTACATATGTTTTAATATTAGATTGCCTATCTGCGCTGACAAGAAAACAATGTAGGCGATGTCAGCTTCATGACAGTGTTTTAATAAAAATTGTATCATTACTCTTGTACATTCCAAATTATTTGGTTTGCATGAGGGATTTGGAATTTTGTCGCCTTTTCGTTTGGAAATATATCACTCCTTATATAGTGACATAACCTCAAGTAAAAAAAATGGGTTTATGTCACTACACAAGGAGTGACATAATCCCAAATTTTAGAATTGGAGTTATGCCCCTTGGAGTAATGTCACCACACCGCTACAAGTGAAGCGAGGCAATCGATGTCCGTCCTTGGCTACGTAGAGCTACGAGAACGTAGAGCTAATTGTCAGTCACGATCAGGGTTGCCACTGACAAAAAAACACCCACCATTTACTTGAAAAAAATCCAAATCTAGAAAATATCTTGCAAAAACTTTCTTTAGTTATTTTAATGAAAACCATAGTTTTGTTTTATTTTTTTAGTTATTTCAATAAAAAATTTAACTGTTTTTTAAGAACTTTTTGTTTAACTAATAATACGGTATTTGAGATCATTTTAATTGCATCTTTTCGGCTTGGTGGTTTTTTTCTAATATTTATAACGTTTTTCAAGTACATACAATTTTTTTGATATATTTTTTTATTTTTTATTTATTATTTTTTTTTTTATAAGAATAATGTTTGTGCTTCTAACAAGCCAATAAAAATAGACGATTAAAGCTATACGCAATATTTAGAAAAATTCAACACTCTGAATTTTTAGAACAATTTAAGATATATAGTTTTATAGCTCAAGGAATTTTTGTATAACCAACAATGTGCTTAATTAAAAGTCCCGTTGATTTTCTCCCACAGTCATAGTCTGTAATTTAAAAAAAAAAAATATTAAGGGAAACAATAGCTCCCCAGGATTGCAGTAAAATGAATTTTGAATGGAGCACGATATGTTCCCCTTCTATCGATATACATTTATGTATATAAAAATGTGCGTTAAAGGATTCAAAAATTAAATCAATAAAGCAGACTACATTTTTGGATAGAAATTTATAATATAAAGATAACTACGAAAAAAAAAGCGGGAACGAAAAGTTCTAACAAAATACTTACTTCAACAAAACTCTACCAAAATGAGAAAAAATTTACCTGTTTACCAACCCAAATTTTTTTGTACCGATTTTGGTAACAATTTTCCAAAGTGGCAGCCCTGGTCACGATAGTAGATCCATGAAACTTGGGACCATCCAGCATTAAATTCGCAAAAAAGCTTCACATAAACTGTTTAACACATTCATGAGCAGTAAGAAATCCATAATAATTATAATGAGAGTTAAATGCCCTTCAAAGCCCAATAGCTAATCTGCTCGTTAAAAAAACGGGCCAACCCGCTCTCGTATACATTATATATTTGCATTTATTCTCTTCATAATAGCACATTTTGTTTCAAAGGACTAATAATAAAAATATAAAGATAATTAAAAGAGTTATTTACTAAGACCTAAAGAGATCCATTGTTCCGTCTACTCATCACAATACCTCTATTTGTCCTACAACTTCCAAAAGTTTAGAAAAGCTTTTCTGGGTAAGTGTATGTATGTGCTGTCAGATATTTATTATTATTGTGTGACCCTTATACACCGCGACCCCTGACGACAGCAACTCGCCGGACAGATTCTTACGGTGGTCGTAGTAGGGGAACGGGTACAGCGTAGCGAAACCTCAATGACTGGATTTGGGCATTGACGCTCACAATATTGTTCACCGGCTCGTACACTGAGGGAAATAATGCATAGTAAAAATTAATACTTTATATTTGATTATCGTTTAAAAATGTTCGTATTTAAAAATAATATTTTCATACAAAATTTATTATGCACGTATTTGACTGTTCACATCTCAGTATGTATATGTAAATGTACATACGCACCCCAAGCATGCAGAGCGCCGCTCTGAGAGCCGTGACAACACACACATTCATACATAGTACATACATGTTTAACTGTATAAATCGCGTGCTGTGGTGTTGATGGATATTCAACATGTGAAGGCAAATTTATATGCCTGGATGTAGCTGAGTGCGTAAAGATGCTTGCCACAAGTTGTTGATATCCCGAGATGGTCGGGTTCGAATTTCACTGCAAGCAACATGCAAATAAATTTTTTTTTTAGTTTTTGTCTTGATCATTCACTTCACGGATGCTTTTTCAGTACAGACACGGTCATTTTAATATGCGCGTAATTGAATTGAATATTTACCGATATACAGTACTTTCGTTGACGTTTATAGTAAGATCAATTACGTTTCTATTTGATTTTAATATTTTTTCCCCTCAGTGTACGTTGTATGAAATAAAACCGCAGGGAGGCTGAGCTGTCGAAAGTAAAAACAGCAATTCAGTTTTGGACATATGTATGTATAAATTACAGCAAAGTACTTACCCAATACAGCAACAATGCCATACAAATATATAACAGTTAATAAAAATTTCATTTTTTCGCAAACTTCCGTGTTTCTGAAAATACTTTAAAGAAATGCTAAATATTTATACAACCTATTGGTTTTATTAAATTGTTTTCATTTTCTCCTCACCATAAATAAAAAAAAAACTTCTAGAAACAGCTGCGCGTAGTACAATTAATTTTTGCAGTTATTGTTTAATTTACAATTTTAACAAAAAGGAAGTTTTATTTACATAAATATTTACATGAAGGTGTTGCGTTTGCAAACAAAAATCAGCTGTGCTTTATGATCGCGTACTTGGGGTTTACACAAGTCAATTTTGCAGATACAATAGCAAAACCTTCACCCTTTTTTTACTTATATATTCGCACTTCTCTCATTGTCTTCGTCAGTGCCATCAAATTTTCGAAGACCGTCTATTGTCTTGACGCTTACTTTACTCAAACAATGTTACAAATAATACATATTATTAATTCTCTTGTCTTCTATAAACACATGGTAATACAACTGTCAGCAGTGACGGACCTACTTGCGTCAAAAGTTGAGAGTTGGTCAACGTTCGTTAAGTCCGTCGACGCAAGTGTCGCCAATCGGACGCTCTCGATGCAAACACACACACACAGTCTACTCAACTGTCAGTTGCATGCTTGAGCGTCACGTACGCAAAGTACTCATTCTGACGG